CTCTCGGTTTGTCAAAACTTTTTTTTTCAAAACCAAATCAAGTTTTTCAAGCTTTTTCCTTTAAATCGTTTGTAATTAAAGTTCGATAACCTTTCAAATTGCCTTCCACAGTAAATAGCATGGTGTAAACACTTGTACAAAGATCGAAATAAAATTAGTGCTCAAAACTTGCATTTTAAACCATTTAACAAATGCATTTGGCTATACATAACACACAAAAATACAAGGCATGAATTTTGAGGCAAACATTGTAAAAAGGCTTGTTTCCTAGTTTCTAAAACTCTTTACATATATAGCTTATCTATAGATATATCCAAAACACTTTCAAAACACTTGCATCCATAATTTCCTATGGTTTCTACTAGCTTATGCTGTCCACAATTGCACTTAAGAAAACCAACAACATTTATTAACATAAATCAATATGCAGTACGAAGATTTTAAAATAGGAACCCCCTACTCACCTCACGATGGCAGGATATTACTTCGCCACTGATATTTCCTCGAATACTCACTTTGTGCTTGTAACAATAACCTTTGCTTGCCAACTTCGTAACATCATTTCAATTTAATACCATTAACAAAACTTACTGCCAATATATTCTACACTTATTATTTGCACTTAAAATATAACCATTTACACTTAATCCTTAATGTAGATTTTGATTTACATAATTTCAACAATTTGTTTATGACTTCCACGCTCACATCAATATTTTCTAATGATATTATCATTCTCAACCTATTGTTTTCATACCATTAATCATGCATACGGCATCAACTATAAATCTAATTTCACCAAGCATCCTCTAAGCTTATATGCACCACTATTTACTTTGTATGCTGCCACTGAACATAACATCAATGTCAAATCATGTTTTATCAACATTCTCAACATTTTAAATCTTTCATAACAACACATATCCACACATTACATTTTTCCAAGCTTTCAACTAACATAATTGCTTTCTAGCCGTACCCAAGACATCACATAAACACTACACATTGCATGCCTTACCTTTGTGGTGGATTTGACCTTGCATGCAACCTCAATGTGCTTCCAATGTTCCACTCACCAAGCTGCCAACATTTGCACAATCAGTTCTCACAATATCCAACTAACCGTAGGCCTCAAAACATAATGTTAAGCTTACCACTTTCCTTTCACTTGGCATTCACCATGCATCCACGGCTTTGAATGGTTTGCATGTCACCAAACTTTCTCCAATCAAGCCAATCTTTGCTGCCATAAGACATCCTTCTTAGTCATCAACCCATTTACAAAGATTAATCAAACTAAAACCAAAATCCTTACCTTTCTTTGCTTAAATTGCAAAACCGACCTTTACACATCCATCCACACTCCATGGCTTCTTCTTTTAAGTGTTGGAGACTCCTTGGTTGCTAGAATAGCACAAGGCTACAAGATGAAGTAGGAGACTTCACAATTTCTCTTGATATAGTGCAAACTGAGCCTTTCCTTCCTTTCTTTCTATTCTTTCTTTTTATTTCTTCCTCTCAAGTGGGATCCTTTCAAGCTTCCTTTCCTCTCTTTTCTTCTCCAAATGACCAGCCCTCAAGTCTCCCCAAAGTCTTTGTCACCTTCTCTTTCTCTCTTAAACTTAACATTTGTATAACCACCCATTAGACCAATCACATTTCATGCACAAGGTTTTTTCCTTTAGTTTCATTCGGCCACTCTCATAAACCAATCAAAATACATGCATTCTTATTCTTCCTATTTCATTTGGCCACCTTGCCATCCAATGGTGCTTCATGCACCAATTTCCTCCCTTGTCCATTGGTCCAATGTCCATCCTCACTACACTCTCCATCCGCCACTACATTCTCCGATTTAATCTCCCTTATTATTTATTACATTCACAACCTTATTCCTAGAATCACATTTCATGCACAAACTTTATTCTATATTTTATTGAGTCACTCATCAACCTATTCAAAACACATGTATCTATGTTTTCCTTCTCATTTGGTCACCTAATGCACCAATCCCTTTACATGCAACAAGTTTGAGCTTATCCTTCTTTTTTACTTTACATGATGGGAGCCCTACATGGTCCCCACTAATTTTCTCTTTTTTGCATGCTATCATTTTTATGTAATAGTAAATTTTACATACACATCTTATTATCTTACATAATCTAACTTTCCTTGATTATTTAACTTCCATTTAGCTGTAAATATTGTAATTACAAATAGCTCCTCAAACTTTTCCTTATTTACCCTTTTGTCCCACCAAACTTTTCATTCTTGCAATTTGGTCCTTCAATCATTTCTTTTAAATTCCAATTTTCTTCTATCTTTCTTTCCTTACACATGTACAATTAAAATATCAAATTTACACTTCACCAAAATGTTACCATAATATTTAAATATATACTTACTCACTATTGCTTTATTAAATAAAAGCACGTGGGCCCCACTTATGTCGTTTTCTTCAAAATTTGTTCTTAATTCTTCTCCCCCACTTAGATTAGTCATATACTCCTTATTCATGTCTAATTTCAATCACAGATAAAATATTAATATTTTTATATTATTTTATTAATAAAATTTTATTTTATTTCAAAATCCTCCATTTGACTCCTCGGGTCCCAAAATGTCTCACTTGTCCTGATTTAGTTCTAAATTATTTTTTTTAACTCACTAATTCATCTTTGATAAAGATATTATTATTTAATTATCATCCCCTCACGTGTGAAATATTTTATTTCGAAATATCCATTTCGCCAATCAATGCTCTTTCGTGCTTAAATTTACATACATCGACCCTCCGTCATGTCGCTAAGCTCGTATTGGCTCCTATACGAGGATACGAGGTGTTACACAAATTACATAAAGTTTTAGCAAAACAATAAGCACAAATAGTGCAAGGAATAGCAAAACCACCTGGATCTTTAACCTTTGGTGGAAGCTTATTCTGAATGATGGCATTGCACTCTTCAGTAAGTGCAACAATTTCAAACTCACCCAATTTCCTCTTTTTAAACTGGATGTGTTTCAAAAATTTAATATATCTTGACATTTGTTCTAGAGCTTCAGCAAAAAGACTATTAATATGTAAAGTGGCAACTAGAGCGTGCCTTGAAAAATGATGCGAGTGGCTTTAAGGATAAACAGAGTTATATGTGAGTTGAATATGGGAAACCTTAGGGAAAATGATATGCCCCTTATTTGGAGATTTTAGTTAGTTTATATTGATGTACTGGCAGTACATCATTTATTGTAAGTTCCCTATAAGAATATAATATTCTGGTTATGTGCACCATTCACTGAGCATTATAATACTCACCTATTTGGTACCATGTGCAGATAAATAGGCCACTGGACAAAATGTGGCAAAAGTTGTCTATTGACAAATCAGTTTTGGCATTCTGTAAGTTCTCGTTTTGTTCACTCCATTGGGTCAAGTCTACATTAGCTTCTGCACTTGAAATATTAAAGTTTAGAAAATAATGTATTTCGGATAATATAGGCACTAAGTGCCATGTGATATTGTGTATTAACGTTTGTTATGTACGAACCCGTCTTGAATGGTAAATGGGTGACCTTATCATAAATGTATGAGTTGTGCCAGGGACTGTCTGATGTGTTGAATTTAAATTCTATTGATGAATACAAGAAATAGCATCCCTTGGCTATGTGTTGCATGGTTTTGAAAACTAAGGCTTGCTCAAGTCTAATGGGCTTGGCTACTAGGCTCTTGCGCCGGTCATGGCCCTCGGGTTTAGGTATCTATATATGCATGTATACATGTATCACCATCAATCTCAAACGCATAAAATTGCCTAAGCTCACCAAGCAAGTTTTGCATGCTTAGTTTCTTGTTAAAAGTCAAAGGCGTTACAATATGGTGGGGTAAAAAGGGAAAACATAATTCCTATTCAGCAACATTTAATGTCATGTCATTTACTACGTGACAATGATTTTATCAAAATAATACTTTAACCTGTCACATGGTAAATGACGTGATATAAAAGTGCTAACAGTGCCATTGACTAACGAAAATTAGTAAACACACTATAACATTTTTAACCTTTAGCTACAAAAAAAAAAAAACATTACAGCCATAGATAAAAAATATGCAACCTTAAGGTAGTGTTTGATATGAAAGAAGTAAGAGCACATTCCTTACAATATGCCCAATTAAATTACATTGTAGTGTTTGTTTTGTAACAGACCACTGCAATATAAAATTGCAATACAATCACACTCCAACCAAGGAATATAATGTGATTGCAGTGCAAAACCAATACAATCACATTACGTTACACTCTACAATGTTCTTCAAGACATTTTTACCCTTTAACTTTATTATCTTATTAAAAATATTTTTTTAATGTTATAATTAAAATAAAAATTATTAAAATAAAATATATAATATAAAAATATAATATAATATAATATAAAAATTAAAATTTGTATAATATAAGTAAAAGAAATTAAAATAAAATATATAATATAAAAAATATATTAAAATGAAAATAAAATATATAATATAAAAAAATATATTAAAAATAAAAATAAAATATATGACATTAAAAATATATTTAAGAGATGATATTATATAAAAATTAATAATAAAAAATATAAATATATTGAACTTGTATTTTAATAACTATGGGTAATTTTAAAAATTAAGATAACATTCTCAGCAAAATACTTTTAAACCAAACGCTACATTTTAATCATTATTTTGCTTGTATATCAAACACTGTAATATTATTTTCTCTGCAATCACATTATTTGTAATCACATTACCTGTAATCACATTACCTGTAATCACATTGCATTGTAAAGTACCAAACACCACCTAAATTCAGGTTGCGCTTAAAAAAAGTACAACCTTAGCCAATGTATGAAAAAGTATGGCTGCACATTTTTATGAGATTCAACAACAAAATTAATATGTAGCCCTTGACTATATGACTGCAATCTTAAATTATATAGTAGCATATAAAATGTGCAGCTAAAAAGTATAAGATAGAAACACATAAACCTCCCAATATAAAGGTTACAAATCATAAAATCAAATTACAACAAGTTTTATGATGTTCACAAATCATACAATCCAATTGCAGCAACTAATGCCTCAAATATAAAGGTCTTTACAATGTATATAATATGAGATTTCATTAAGAATGATCAACTAATTCTAGTCTCCAACATCAACAGGTAGCTTTAGTAATCTCTCTCTCTCTTCTTCTCTCCAATTCCTTTCTGTAAATGTTTGTTTGTCCATTCTCCCAACCATCTACCATTGTAGTTCCCAACAAAGATTAATTTGCAAGATAATATTAATTTGCAAGCAGTTCATAGTGTAATATGAGACAAAGCATACTAAAATGCAAGCAATCCTCCATACTCATTCACCAACTAACAAAATTTATTTTTCCTCATTTGCAAGAAAACTTATAATATATACTAGTGATTCTCACTTGGAAACAAAAAATATAAATAACCGGTACAACAAAGTTCCAAAAGATAAGAGCATAGTGATGCTATGCTATCCAGTAACTCAAAGTTCCAATTGTAAGTAATGCAGTAAAAAACACAACATTGGCTAAAGTAGCAGCAACATTTCAACATTTGTAGCAAATGTCAAAGAAATTTGGATGGAACCATATCATAATGAATAGCATTGTAGCTAGATAGCCTAAAATTAAAAGGTAATACTATATTCAAGAGCCAAATACCATTAAATGACTTACAAAATTCATCAACAATAGCATTTGGAATCAATTCTTCCAAGTATCTTGCTAGGCTCATTTGTTCGAAGTTGTGCCTGTTTTCTTCAAAGAGAAGTTAAGAAACATTAACTTCCACCATCTAAGAAAAATAAAAATGACATCACAAATCATAAATCTTGAATCATATTACAAATTAGAACCTCAAAATTGTAAAAACTCTTAAAGTGATTGTAAGTTACTAACCTTACATATCTGATTTAGAAATATATTATCAAATATTTGGTGTTTGATTACTTTTTCGATTTCTTGACAACCGATCAATGATGATTCATTAAAATGCAAATTATTATAAGTAAAGAAACTTGGGAATCGAAAGAAAATAAAAAATAGTTGCAATAAAAGATACCATTTGTTAAGAAGTTGATGGTTGGTCACTTATTGTTGAAGTTGCTAGCCTAAGAAACCTCATTTGTAAATGCACAATCAAGAAATTGCTTAACTCCATCTATGTATCCCTTACTCAATCTAGAGCAACACATCCAACTCTTAACTATCATCTTTATAGAACTATCCAAATTCATTAAAAAAAAAGATTATTGAAAAGTAAGTCTACTTACGATAATTCTACATAATACAGGACAGAAACATATAACAGCATTATAAAAAATAACTAGCATTAAAACAATAGCAAAAAGCACAAGGCAGAGTATTCAAATTGAAAACTATTCATATTCATCCCCTAAAAACAATAACTACTAAACATTGAAAACAGTAAAAGGCAAAAGTTAACATATAGTTCAACATTAGCTTTTATTGGAACAACAGATTAACTTATATTTATAGAATAACTTATTTTTAGTTTTCACTTATTATAATTATTTTCTGCCTAATTAAAAGAATAGAAGCAAGACATAAAACAAAGAACTAAAATAATTATGTGGAAGGAAAGATGATGAGTCTATGCTATGAATCTAAGATTTCAGAAAACTTGAACCCAAATCTATATTAAACAGTTTAATTACCTGGTCAAGTGAGGCAAATGAGCTAGTACTTATATCCTTAGAGGGTCTTAAATTTGTGAAAGCAAGAAATACCGCATCATTTGCCTATAAAGTTAAGTTCTAGAGAATTAGAAAAACACATAAAATCTATATTTAAAAGAATAAACCAAACCAAAAAGAATAAAATTTATATTTAATAGAATAAAATCTATATAGTCCCACGTCATTTCTAGACATGCCAAATCAAAAAGCCAACCCTTGCCCCACAAAGAAAGTCCATAGCATAGCAAGAACCAGTGAGAAATAATCTGACGGGAAAAAATTTAAAAGAATAAACCTGGCTTGTAAAAAACAAACAATCCAAAATCAGTGACCTTGAGGGCAGCATCTTTGTCAACAGTATCAAACGAGAAGTTCTCAAGCTTATGATCATTTTTGAATAATTCTTGTCTTTGTCTTCATCATTTATATACTAGATTGAATTCAAATTCACCTAACTTTGTGTTCTGAACATAACACAAATGAAAATTGATAGAAACTTAGAACTTTTAATAGAAAACTATATGACTGTGTAACCAATTCATAAGTTAATACTTATAATACCCATCACCCAACAAAATGAACAATAATATTATTCATATAGTATGTTGAGCTAAAATAAGGAAACAAGAAATCAGTAAACTGGCTTGAGCATACTCATAAAGGGAGACAAGATTTCATAAACCTATTCAGCAAACTGATAATCAGCAAACTGAACGGAATACAAAATTATTGAACATATTCAGCAAAACCAAATTAAACACAAAAAAGGAAAAAAAAAAAACTTCATACCGACAAGATTTACGGCAATTAACCATTCTCCAACAGCCTAAATGAAATGGGAGTTTTTCACCATGTCGTCCTTCCTCTGCATCTAGTGCCACCTTGTACCGATTCCATGAGCCTCTATCTTCACATTCAGTCACAATGAAATTTCTCTCAAATTCAAAAACCCTAGAGTGAGAAAGAGAGAAGCGATTGGGAAAAACTTGGAGGTAGATGAAATTTCTGAGAGGTTTTAGGAAATTGTTATTTGAAAAGAGGGGGAGTCAGATGATTTTGTTGCTATGAATCAAAGAAATTAGAAATTCAAATCTTTTTTTGGTGACAAAAGGATGAGGATTCAAAATTGGGGGAAAGAGCATACATAAATGTTTGGGCAAAAATCAACAAAAATACTTGAATGAATAGAAAATGATTTTTTTTTTCAACCCTTCAGCTACCACCAACAAAATACAATCTGTTAGTGTTGTCAAATGAAATTATTTAAGTGTTAGTTAAAAATATTTAAATGCATTAATTTAAGTGCAACTAAAGTCTCAAAATGTTGTGGTGACAATTAGTGAGTAAGGATTATTTGATTTAAAATAAAAACTTGAAAGTTTAATTAAAAGTAATAAAAAATTAGGGGTTAATTGAATTTTTTGATATTGTTTAAGAACTTATTTACGTATTTAGTCAAAAATAATTATGAGACTTTATCATAAGTGTTGGAGTTAATCTCATAAATTGATTTTTCAGAAAAGATTTATTTTTAAATAATTATCTCAAACATAAAAATAATAAATAATGGAAATTGAATAAGATGAAATAAGTTTTAATTATAAGGAAAATAAACCTTAATCAATAAAAATTCATAACTCTTTAAACGTAAATTTTTTAAATGGAATTTTTAAGAAAGGTTACAAATAATAACTTCTTTAAATATTTTAGATGGAACTAATTATGGGACCTTGCCTTAAGTGTTGGGGATAATCTCATAAATTATTTTTACAAAAAAAAATTACTATTTAATAATTATCACAAACATGAAATAATAATAAATAAAAACATAAAGTGAATTAGGAATAGAACCACAATATTCATGTTTAAGTGTCATAAATATTTAATTTAAGTTAAAAGAAAATATATAAAAATTCTTCAATGATGAAATTTCGAGAAAGTCATAAATGATAACTTCTTAAAATTTACAAGTGAGAGATTTTTTAAAATTCTGTCATAAGTGTTGGAGTCTTCAAGCAATATTTCAATATCAAAGAGTTTTTTTTATTATTAAAAAAAAAGTAAGATGAAGGAAAATAATGAAAATAATAAAATAGAAAATAAGAAAAAGAAATAAAATTGAATATTGAACTAAAATTTGTTTGAAAGGGATAACAAATAATATATGATTAATTATATACCAATTTAATGAGCATTATGAGAGTACTAATACTTTTTTCATACATAATTATACTCCTGAACTTAGCCTCTTCCATAGACTGAAACCTATTCTTTTAATGAACCTAAATCAAATTTAGGATCTCATTAAAAAAAATAAATTCCTCTTAACTGGTCAATCTCACCTAAATAAAAAAAAAAAATTATGATCACTCCTCTTAACATCAACCAGTTGAATTTTAAAACTCACACATTATGACAATCAATATTTATAAACAATAGTAATTTTTGGAGACTTTAAGATAATTTCAATGGCAAGGGAGATCAATGAGTTGGATTCAATCTCAAGGCTGTGAAGCAGTGAGAAATTTGGTGTAAGCATAAACAAAATAATAGAAGGGTGCTCTCCTAGAAAGAATGGTTATGAAAATCCTATCATACTAATTGATTAGGTGATTTTCAAACTCAAGAGTTCCTAGTGCAAGAATGAATATGAGCTTTGCTTTCAGCAACTCTCAGATTATTGACTTTTATTCTTGTTCTGTTTCATTTATGACCTTTCCATGTTGTTTCGTGCCAAGGGATTAGTGCAACAAATACTGCTTCCTGCCAAGTAAAAGAAGTTAAAAATGTTAAAATAAACAAAGCAATGACAAATAAGTTTCGCATGCTCTGTTATTGGTAGTATCAATCAAGTCACTTTGCCAACTTGCCAAAAGAGATTTTCATGATGTTGTAATGAATGTAACGTAACTATATAAGCTTATTATATCAATTTGTAGTGTAACCATTATTGCAACAGAGAAATTTTATATTTCAAAATTATGTATTGTTAAGAGAGGTGACAACTCTAATTATATTCATAATCTAACTCAAAACTAATTAATAGTATTGTAATCTAATTAGTTAACTAGCGAACCAGCAATACTGTATTCTAACTTTATTATTAAAATATCGAATTTGTACAATTATCTCTAAACTCAAGGTGGTATCCTAAATGCCAACTTGAGTTTGGAAATCAAGTCAAATTAAATCTTGAAACCAATTAGTAGCTGCATGATGATCCCAAGTTGCATCCAATCTTAGACCCACAGATTGTAGTTCTTTTTCATCAAGCAATTGCAATTGACTTGGAAACTTACAAAAGTGTAGATATGATAAAACACCCGATAAAATATACAACAAAATGTGTGACAGAGTATGAGACAAAACATGTGATAGATTACATGATAGAGCATGTAGCAGATTACAACACGTCACAGACAGTTGACAAACAAATGATGTGGCAACTAACGTGTCGAAATAAGTTGATGGGTCGAAGACATTAATACATGGGCGATTGGCACATGAAATAAGAGTTGTCAACGTGACACCTAGGGTGGCTCTAATACAATGTTACACAAAGAGATATTGTATTTCGAAATTATATATTATTACAAGAGTGAATGTGGCATATATATAGGGTTAATCTTATTCATAATCTAACTCTAATTAACTAACAGTATAATAGTCTAATTAGCTAAACAAGGAATCATTGTATAATATTCTAACAGAATTATTGAATTTGTACAATTATATCAACAATTGTATCAACTTGAACATGTGAAATGAACAAATTCTAGGTTATGATTAACTTGTGAATGTGCATTTCATCCATCCATATCACTCTGTAAGTGAATGCACTCGTTGTCAAAAAAATATCAAGAGGAAGAGGACAACAGAGAGAGAAAAACTAAGGAAAATACAATTTTTTGAAGATGAGAAGTTCCATTAAAGAAAGAGAGTGAGAGAATATTCCTCACAGGGTGGAGAAACTCAACTCCAATACGGAGCAGTGTCACTTAAGAGCTACAAATTGTTACATCACAGTTGAAAGAAAATGAGAGCAAAAATAAAGTATGGCAATTGTTAAATATTGTATTGCCTTTGCTTGCATGGAATCAGCAGCCACTGGTAGAGACTCTCTACCTAAAAAGGCACGTTAAGTGCACCATCATGCCAGTAAGCAAATCTGGTTTTTTTTTTTTTTTTGCAGATCTTATGCAATGCAGTCACCATTGTGACTCACAAAATGAAAACAGATTCATTCTACCATGTAAGTAAATGACCAAACTAAAACAACAAACCTTGTCCAAGAACAAGGGCTTCACAGCCTTTGACTACATGAATCCTTTTCCATGGTTTTGATCTCTCTACTGATACATTGTAGCAGCCTAACAAGTAACATGATGCTCGAGGCCGATAAATTTGAAGATTTTCAAAAATAAAATGGAAATGAATTAGTATAAGAGAACATGCCAACAGCTACAATGAAAAGAATTAGTTATAAGGGGATAACTTAGGTCCAGTTGCAACAAGAGTTTCACTGAGCAAACTCCTTGTTAGGTATTTCTTGCCAAGACATCCCTAATGAGTTGTTTTGGTGCTGCAATAGATAAATGAAACAAAGATCATGAGATGGAAACAAAGACTATGCATAGATTAGTAGAAAAAGGATTCGGGGTAGAGAATTCTTTGAATTCGGTCAATCATTGGCTTCGTCTTACTAGGCAAACCAGTGAACATCTTGAACTGTACCAATGCTTGATTGATGAACATCTGTGTTCCATATACGATAGTGGCTCCAGACTCCTGTGCTTCTGTTAGGAGTCTGGTTAACTTGTAGTGTAAACGGCATCAAAGACCAATGAGTAGTGTTCCAAAGCTTCCTTGGATACTTGTGTCTCATCAATTCTTGGTTTCATTCCAACAGATGTAGTATTAACCAGATGCAGGTGTTGCACCACTGGATGCTCTTAATCCCTCTTCAATAGCATCGATAGGTCCAAGGTAGTCAATATTGTAACCAATCAATTTGCCATCAGTTGTTCTCCTGATCATGCAACTAATTTGCTCCTATTGACTTGGCAACGGGATCAACCTCCTCACAGCATTTAAGTTCACCCTCCTTGTGAGGAATAGTATAGCTGTATCCAGCAAAATCAGAAGATGAATAAGTGGTGATAAAGTTTGAGACATTGTCAACCAACAGAGGTAGATATATTCCATTGAAACTGGTGGATCTAAACGCTACATTGTAGAGGTGAGGACTTTTGCTGTGACCAATAGGATTTCCAATAACAGCATGTACTTTGGTATCAGGTCCAATATGCCTCATATTGTATAAATCCAACAATTCCTTCACGGTTGGTTGCCCAGGGGCTGATATTACTCCTGCCTCAAGTGTACCAAAAGTGAGAAGTTCCCCAAATTTTGCAGCCAGGATCCTTGACATCGAACCCCTCTCACCCATAACAAGTCCTATCATTGGGACTTGAGACATGGGAGGTAGTAAACTGATATATAATATCTCCTCAGTCTTTCATCTTCTGATTGTTATTAAAACCGACAGCAACATATGTGGAGCCATCCTCCCAAAACAAATCTATTATCAATCTGTTTGTAAGGAAGCAGCAGCTCCTCTCCTTCCTGGTTCCCAATATCAACGGCAATGAATCAAATTACCTTGAAATTCAAATAGTTAACAAGTCCCTTACCCTTCTCCAAGCATTGGCTTTCAATTTCTTCAGCGTCATTTTCTTTACCTATATATATACTGGATTATTATAGAAACTAAATTTGTAGTCATCACTAACAACATCATAACCAAACCCGAATCCAAGATCGCAAAGTCCAAAATCATCTGCAAGTTTTGATAATACTCAATGCTTTCTTCTTGCTGGATTCCATAAAGCAAATATATCCTAAACTGAAATCATACAAAGCAAGCAAGCCACTACATGAAACCAATAAAACCACAACCTAGATCTAAATCGCTACCAATTGGATAATACAGTCGAATTATATTACCTAGTGACTCCTGGTTTGTATGAGAATGAGGCGGAGATAGGAACTTGTCTTGAATGAGTACTGGTGGAGATGGAGCTTGATCAATAAGGGCTGTCAATTAGAGAGCACCATAACTTGGAAAAGCATCTCAGGGGCAGGAGATTCTTAACAGGCAGACGGCTTAATTCCGCCTTGACAATATCCAATGGTAGGTTCAACATTGATGCTCAAATGAAGTAATCAAGAATGTTATTATTAAAAAGGCTTTAACCAAATGGCTTTTCACCAAAGTAACAAACCACACTTTTTAAAGAAAGCACAGGAAATAAACCTCAGAAACCTGTATTCCTTTGGAACCATGAGGCCTTTACTTCTTCAGTTAGGGACTACATTACCCATTTTCTCCCCCATTTCCAAAGCCACATTCCAAATTCCCAAACTAAATCAGAGATCTAGTTTCTATTCATACAGCCATCAAATCCCTGAATCAATAGTGGAAATCTGTTAGAAATCTATAGAGATTTTGCGACTTCTTAGAGATTTAACAGCATTGACCACATTATGGGAAACAAAAGGTTCACAGATTTCTTAAAAATTGAAAACTGAACTAGAAAAAAAGATACAAGGAAATTTGGAAGGAAATTCATTTTATTTCCATAGACAGGACGAGCACAAAAGACACCCACAATTCTACAACCCAACAAGCAAGCTGAAACAAAAACTTGTCAAATGCCCTCGACAAACTTAAGACCATGTCACGCATCTGTAGCCTTATCCCTCTCCCCAGTTTTCCCTTCCCTGCCAATATGAAGGCCACTCTCAATCTTACGAGTGACCTCATCAACCACTGCCTTCACTTTCCCACTAGGTCCATTTTGAGGAGCTGAATCATTCTCTTCATGATTCACCGAGCCTATCTGCCATATTCTAATGGTACCATCTTCAGATCCCGAAGCGTAGGATTCCCCTCCAGGTGAGAAACGTACACAGTGGACAGGACCATGGTGACCCTTGTTGCAACCTACACGAATAAAGCACAACACGATTAGAACTCTAACCACTATGACAAACACCAATAAGGAAACATCATCTAATCAGTTCTACACACTACATAAAAACTAATAAGCACAGGCCACCGCTGTATTTTAATGGGATCTATCCTTTATATTTCTCAGATTGTTTTTTTTTTTACTTGCAGCAAAGCTATCATTCGAGTTTTTGTTACATGGAGTATTAAAGAACACATTATGATGCACTTTCATACAGCACCCAAACAGCACCGGAACATGAGATCTAAATATTTAAAATAAACAGCATTCAGCAGTAACTAAACACTGCCAAGTATCAAAAAGCTAGACAGCCATTCAAAGACAATGATAAAATGATCGCATTAGCTATTATTGAGGTCTTCATCAATATTGTTGCTCATCTCACAATATCAAGGGGCACCTACCAATCTCTTCTCCAGTATGGAAATCAAACACATGGACCCACATGTCTTCTCCTCCAGCAATGAACTTATTGCCGTGCTTTGGTTCCAATGAAGCTGATTCTACATTGCATGGCATGTAGTAGCTTTTAACCAATCCAAAACTAATAAGAGCAAATACACATGTCAACAGCCATCGAGTCAAAAAAACAGAGTCTGCAAAAGTAGTCCACCTCAAAACTTACTGATTTGCATCCCAAAACTTAACAGTAGATCCATCAGCAGTGGTTATAAAGCGACCATCCTGACTCACTTCAGCACTGGTGACAGGTGATTTGGTCTCAAGTGTTTGAACAATTTTGCCACTTCTTAAATCCCACAACCTAAACAGTTAAGTTTACAGGTAACAAGGTTTAGGAAGTCAATTAGAAAACATCTCACTGCTATAGTAAAGATAAAGACAGAGCACAAATGGATGTCTTACCACAAATTTCTTTTATTAAATTTTTAATAAACTAATGCATCAAAGGTTCATAAAACCTCCAAAACCATCCAATATGGTAGACATGTGTGTGTGTGTGTGTGTATATATATATATATATATATATAGAATACTTAATCAATAAGTCAATAACCTAAACTGAGATCTCTCATTTTTTCTTGTTCTTAACTTTCCTAAATTCCATCAAGTATCTGGGAAAAATTATAACTTACTTAAAAACAATTTATAAAGTCAACCACCGAATGGGGGGACCAGCATTTTCTTCAGCTAAGTAAACTCAACCCAAGGAATGTTCTGTAATAAGGATGCATAAATGCAAAGTGCCCTAAAATTTCCATGCTTGACTTTTAAACTTAAGAAACAATGTGCATCCATTAAAACTACTGAGAACACATGCAGATAATAGTCTACCTATCAGACACCTTATCTCAAAATCCTCAAGTGACAAAACTATTTCAAGATATATATGATACTTGTGACAAATCAAATATCTTGTCTAAAACAAACTCCTAACTTGAAAACGAAATCATATCAGTTGAACAAAATCATACCTAACACCACTAGTATCAGTACAAGAACTTAAGATGGTCTGGTCACTGTGGAGCCATGCAACAGTTCTAATTGAACCAGGAGAATTACCCACTTCTCTTGGCGGTGCATCTGGACGATTCAAATCAAATATTCGAAGAATTTTCTCAAGTCCACCAGTAACTAGAAGGTGTGTATCCTGTACAAATAATAATTTACTCAGATGCTGCAGATAAATTAATTGCAATCTAAACTCACTGAAGAGTTTATTAATGAACCAGGAATGTAAGTGCAAGAGGCAAGAAGTTAATTGCAATCTAAACTCACTATTATATATTAAATAAAACCTACATTTAAAAATATGTGACGGTCCCATAAAAAAAAAAATCCCATTAAAAGACTCTGCAACTTTAGTCCAACAACAACAAGAAACACAACCTTCTTGCAATAAGATCTAAAGCAAAGAAAAAGGTAGCGCTTATATATTATCACAAAATAAAGTTGGTCATGGGGAACAAGTCTGATATACTTGTTAGCCCACAATGGGCACTACATAAGCATTAAATGCAGATCCATAGTTATAATAAAAGAAAAAAAAAGAAAGAAATATTCCAATGGAAAAATAATTAAGCACTACCTCTGAAAAGGCACATGCTCGAACAATATGCTTGTGTTCAAAAGAGTGCAATTCATCTCCGGTCAATGCATCCCATAATTTCCTGGAAATATCGGAGGAAAACAATAAATCACACATCTCAATTACCATCATTACTGACAATTATACTACAAGGGAGAGAGAAAGAATAAGAAGAAAAGCTTCATTCATATATAATTCCTTATTTTCTATACTTAGAATGGTAATTGCACTTTGGTAATAATGCCATTTCAGAAGAGATCTCCAGAAAAGGTTATAGCAGATATCTTTCAATCATTAATACAAGTAGCATAAAAGAATCAACTGAGCTTACCAAATACAAAAATTTCTAACACACCGGACATAACCAATCACATGGAGCATAGATTTTTCATGCTGCATGTGTGTGTGTGTGTGTTTTCATCTCAGAAAACATCAATGTTACTACATAAAGAAAAAGAGACTAATTCTTCCAATGGCAATCATGCTCTACTTTTTACTTAATCAACATATTGAAGAAAAAAAACAATTTGTAAAGCCAACACTCAAGCTCACTGACATACTTCCCCTCACAACTAGTTAATGAGGGATAAAGGACGCCGATAGCCCACAAGGATGAGGTCCCTTTTTCTAGATATAAATGCAAACGTAGAAGGAAAATGTGTTGTAAAGGTGGAACAGCAAACAAAAAAAAAAAGAATTAGTGATATTTTTTTCTGAATAAAATTACATACGCAGAAAAATCAGCCGAAGCAGATGCAGCCCGTAATGCATTGGTATCCAGGCAGGAGCTCCATACAGCACCTTTGTGTCCTTCAAATGTGCCAATCCAATCTCCAGTCTCCCCATTTCTCAACATTGGACTGGAATCTGCATTTACAATATATCATTAGAAATAAGTTTACAAACAGAACAGTTGAACAGAGTAAATCCACATCACAAAAAGCAAACACACTCATCGTGATCCACTTCCAAGAAAATAGTATTTAGAAAATGTTATCATAGCAATATTACCGAATTGATCTACCTAGAAAACTTATAAAAATGGATTACAGCCGAAGAAATGATAAACAAAAATATGAAAACAAGCCCCATAAAAACCTGATTGCAAAATGATCATTCCATTTCAAGTGATAGAACAAAGAAAACTTTCAGTTCCTTGCAACAAAACATTAGCTAAACGCTAACTCAACATAATCCTACTTCAAGACTGTACCACCGTATTAGTATTCACATAACTACAGGACTACTTAAGAATTTGCAATTCAATCTAATGACAGTAAAATGATCACAGCATATCTAATCAAAGAAAACCCAGTTCAAAACATTAAATAATAAATTCAAAAGTAAAAACCATATGATCCAAAACAGAGTAATTCAAAAGAAAAATCCAAACCCAATCCAGCATTCGTGTCACTGGGTTCAAATACATAGCTGATTATACCAAAATGATCACTAAAACAACATTCTGAAGAAAACCTAAATTTAAAATTGCTAGGAATCAATCAAAATTTAAGAGCCATACCTTTACTGGCACTGATAAGAAAGAAGCCATCAGGGGTGATGGGGCTGTAGAACAAATCAACCACCGGTCTTGAATGCCCATGGCACACTAATGGTGCGGCCGCCTTTCTCTTTTCCATTTCTCCAAATTAACAACAACGACGATGACAACAACAACAGTAAAATCAAAAACCCAACAAAAAATTATTAAATTAATCCTTTTAGATCAAATTTTGCAAAATGAAGGGAACAAAAAAGAAAAGGACCAAACTTTTTTTTCTTAATATTAACAAAATGTGTCAATATTGCATAACTGAACTAAAACAGAATAGTTCTTGCCCGAATTTATGATACTTAAGACAATAAAAATCTATTTTTTCTTTTATTCGTTAATTAATTAGAAGGGGATAGAGAGGAAACCCTAATTGTAGGGTTCCATTTTTCCTTTTCTTCAATGATGCTGGAAATGTTTTCAAATGCTAGAATAATGTAAATGTTTGTCTATGGAAAATCAAAATTATTTTTTATTTATTGCAAAATACAGAAAATAGAAAAAAAATAGAAAATATAGAAAGGATTTATATAAATACATATAGGGGCTTTGAGAGCAGGGAAGAACATGGAGAGGAGGCCTTTTATAGTAGCTTGGGATTTTGGCATTTGGTTGGTTTGGTAAATAAAGGTTTCTATTTTTGGGTAATGTAAATTTAGCACTTCTTTTCAAAGTTTTACCCATGTCACCAGCAAAAATATAATGACACGTGCAGTTGAGTTACTCAACTCTAATTTGGCCCAATTTAAGAATTTAAGAATGTAAATGGGTTGTTGTTATAGGGATATCCGTAAGTATTCAACTCAATAATATAGGTTTCGGGTACCTTATATTATAGGATGAGTTTGAGTGTGATTTTTAATATTCAGGTTCATGTAAGTTTAAAGTATCACTTTTAGAATACATTAATCTCAAACTCGATTATATGATGTTTGATCTTAACTTAATATATACTACAGTTGAATATGATGTTTGATACTATATTTATATAGTTTTTATGTTGTTTTATTGGTGTTTGAGTTATTTTAAATTTTTTCATGGTTTAAGTTTTAATTTTTAATAAATTGTATATGAAGTAATGTAAAATTTTTTTTATTAAGGTTTCGGGTTCAGGTTATTAAACAAGTATCATATACAAAAACAAAAATTCTTGTATGGTCAGGAGTTTAACAAATTTAGAGATTGAATTAATAGTATTATAAGTTCATTTTTGGATAATATTTTACAATTTTATCTGAATTTTAATAAAGTTTAAATACATTAATGGTTAAACGGTATCGAAGTTGAGTACCTAAAAAATAAAGGACACCTTACCCACTCAAACTCAATTTAATTAATTCCATATTCAATTAAGAGAGGAAGGAAATAGAAAAAAACATATTGAAAATTTAACGATAAAAAATAATTGAAAGGATCTCAACAATTTCATTGTGATGGAAGGAATACTTCCCTGCATATCAAACCAAACCTTCAAGAAAGTAATCAACCTTTCTTAAAAATGATAAAAATTTAATTATATTAGCTCATTTCAACATATTCAAATAAAACAATTTAAAACTTGTAGAAGTGGTCGCAATTGATCAAGTCAAGATAGATGATATTAAACTTGGATCGTTTGTGATCATTAAAGTTCATGTCATTTTAAGTTGGAATCGCTTTCAAATCTCAATGATTTTGTTTTAAGTTGTTTTAAATTTTTACTTACATTTAAATTGAGATTAATAAATTTTTTAAAATTATTTTGGATTGAGTTGAAATTCAATCTGCTATCGACAGTTTGTTATGTTTTATTTATTAGCTATTTAATCAAATAAAAATTTTAAATGAGAAAAAGAGAAATGTTAATAGTTTTAGATCAATTTGAATCTTACTCAAATTGGATTTATTTTAAATTTATTCAAGTTTTCGTTCATTTTAAGTTTAAAAACCTTTTACATTTTGGGTTATTTTATCTGTGTACACATCATTGATCTTTTAAAGGCTTTAAATTGGGTGAATCTTTTAATTTAGTTTTAGCAACTACTTAAAATGTATTATGTGGTTTTAATTTAATTATAGAATATGGATATATTACACCACAATAGATCAATTTAAATTAACGTAAATTTGAAAATTGATAAATATACTATCCACATTCTAAATATTTTAAGATTTATATATTTGTGGATAACATCTAGGTGATAATGTGAGATTTATTAAGAAGATAATGTAATTTAGAAATTATCTTAGTAAGAGATTGTGATAGCTATTGATATGTAAAGGGCTTCAACTATAAATAGGAATCACCCTAACCTTATTTGTATCACAGTTATTTTTCATTCCAAGCATTACTTCAGTAATACATAAAGAGCATTCTCTCAATATCTTTCTTTTCTTTTCCCTTTTATTATTTCTTTGACAACACGTTATCAACACGATCACCAAAAGAGGAGGTAATTTTCTTGGTTCTTCATCAACCAATTTGATTTTGATTTTGTATATCGTTCAATTGGCTTGAAGCTGACAACAAACTTAAAGCATTATTCCTGTCCCTAAAGCGGCAGTGGGCCTCCAAAAACCCTTATAGTTGTCATAATTAATTTATGGGTCCATTTTTTATGCATAAAATTATGACAAATATCAAAAATCCCAAGTTCCACATCTTGGAAGTGAGTGGAAACAGTTATCCATCCTGGTGCCTTGATGTGGAGATGCATCTCCAATGGCAAGGTCTTTCTAATACAATTATTATAGATGAGAAAGCAAACAACAAATATAAGGCGAATGCACTTATCTTCATTCGTTGTCATTTGTATGAGAGTCTGAAGACTCAATATTTATCTTTCTAAGACTTTAAGATCCTGCAGATAAGGTTGGAAGAGAGGTATGGTCACACCAAGACAATTATTCTCCCTTACGCACAATAAGACTAGCAATATGTCAAGTTGCAAGACTTCAAATTAGAGTCCGACTACACAAGTTAGTCTTATTTTATATTGTTTCTCAATTAGAGTTATGCGGTGTTAAGTTCACTAAATCAAAGCTATTAGAGATAACTTTTTCCACCTTTCATGCTTCAAATATTGTATTGCAGTAGTAATATCATTAGTGTCAATTTAAGATGTACTCAAAGTTTATTTTTGTCCTCCTGACTACAAAGCTAACTAATGAACTGTTACTCAAAAACCAAGATCTTTAATCTACTGGCTCGAAAGTATTACCAGAAGCAAATGCTAACTCTAATAAAAGTACAGGCAGATTTAAGGGCCATGAATGCAAACAAGGGCATAACCCACATAGGGGTGGTAGAAGACTTAATTGCCTTCAACAATCCAACCTTGGTCAGAATCATGGTAAGGGCAAGAAACTCATGAAGAAACATGATGAGAGTATCTACCATCGTTGTGGCATGGTTGGACATTGGTTATGTATCTATCATACGCTTTGCTAATCCATACCAAGCAATCTTGAAGGATAAGAGCAAGCGTGTTAAGACTCATACCATTGAAAATTTTACTGCTATGACCAACTTTGAAGCTAACAATGCCTCCGTTAAAATGACTTCCCTACTCTTGTAAAAGCAAGAGCATCTTTGGAAGTCTCTAATTTTTTCGAAAACCTTAGTAGTCAGGATAAGGCATTAGAATGATGGAGGGCTGTCCAAACTTAGGATTTGAGGACTTTAATGTTTCCTCATTTTTTCTCCTTTTAAGAATATATTACCCTTGGTTGATTGTTCCTAAGGAAGAACAATATGATCATTTAATAAAATTATTATGAAATCGATCCCATATTTATTATTTGAAATTTTCAATCCCATTACTAATTTGCATATTTTTATGATACTTGACACTTGAAGTTGTCAATAAAAGTGCAAATGGAAACCGCCAAGAAAAAATAGATGTCTATTTGCTTGATAGTGCAACAACACATACCATACTTTGTAGCAAACACTTTTTCTCAAGTGTGATAATGCGTAAGGAAAATGTCTATACAATACCAAGTCCCATTAATATTATTGATGGCTTCAGGAATGCCACAGTTGTTCTACCAAGTGGCACCAACTTACATATCAAGGATGCATTGCTAAGCATTAGATTGAAGAGAAATCTACTTAACTTCAACGATGTATGCCATAATGGGTACCATCTTAAGATAATTTAGGAGCAAAATAAGGAATGTATCTACATCATGTCAGTTAAAATTCTACTACGCAAGTATACGTATCGAATAGATAGTATATTAGCAAGTAGAGTATCGATCCCACAGAGAATTGATCTAAAAGTTTACTAAGTACTAAAATTATTGCAAATTAATCTTATCCAAACAAAATCAAAATAATATCAAATCAAACTAAGTTATAGCAGAATTAAATAAGAAAATCAAAATAATAAATACTCAAATAAATAATCAAATCAAACAAGCCTAGGATTACAATATCCCTCACACTTCATCTAAATCTTACCTCTTCCTTAACTTATCTCAATGGTTTGAATTGCTAACCTAGAGTCCTAAATTATTTATAAGGGTCTTCCGACTCATCTTAAAAAATATTTATTTTAACCAAAACACTAATCCCTATGTGAATTGAAATTAAAACAAACTCATTAAGTTCAGGCTCTAATCTGGCTACATATGGCCTATAGGTATATCCCTATCCTATACGCAAATCAATTAATATGATCATATGCTATCCCAATTTTAGTCTACACTAAACTCCCTTCCCAAGTTTGTTTAGGTTTCTAGATCAATTTAGTTGGTGGCCAAGCAATTAAAAGCATTAAGAACAAATTGGAATAAACAATTCAAATCCCATTGAAAATAAGTAAGAAAGTGATTAAAAATCTAGATTACATGTGAGTTCAATTGCAATCCTAGAAAAATAAATTAGCTCATAATATCTAATAAAGACAATATCCAAAGAAATTTAGCCATGAATCCAAGTCAAAGAAAATAAGAAAACACAAAGGTTCTTGATTCTCTCTAATAGTTAGAGATTTATGATCTTGATTCTCTCTCAATTCTCTCCCTTGAAATCTCCAGAATGGCTGCGCCTCTCTCCAAAATCCGAAAAGATCCTTAAATAGGCTCCAAATAACCTAATTTTCGAAATCCGTTAATGTCCTTTATTTTTTGGAAAGTCGCGCAGCGCTGCGCGGCGCTACTTCTCCAGCGCTGCAGCGCTGAGCTCTCTGGAATTTTGTATGTGTGCTTCCTTTCATCAAGCTGCAGCCTTGTTCGCCCAGCGCTGTGACAGTCTATCAACTTCAAACGTGAGTTTTACCCTGATATGTTAAGAACTGGGCAAAGTAGTAAACATAAAAATTTATATCCCTGTCTCTTAACTTTCCAATGGATCAAAAATCACATCAATTGGACTTCTGTATTGAAAGATTGCTCCAAATACCGCATCATGTTCAGTCTTTACATACTGCTGCAGTGGTCCGACTTTGACAAATATTTTGACCATGATCCAATCAGAACTGGGCAACTTGGTGAACATAAACATTGTATCCCTTCTTCTTATAATTCTATTGGTCTAAGAATCACCTCATTTGGAGTTTTTTTGAAAGAGATATGGTCAAAA